TTTTTTTTTAAGAAAATAGCATTACCAGGTTTGAGAGCAGTGATGAAAGGAGTCAGGATATTGGAAAGCAAATAGCTAGCAAAGAAACCTACCAAAGCCAGTGTAACAATTTTGTCTGCAACACTGGGAAAGGGGATCAACTTAAGTCCAAGGCACATAGAAACAAACAACATCTACATGCCATTCAAAAAAGAGACAGTCAAAAAGCTAAAAGACCACAACACCTCCTTGCCAGTAATCAACATTAGATAAGCAGAGATGAACACCAAGACTTATACTAGACCAGTGGTTCTCAACCTTCCTAATGCTGCGACCTTTAATACAGTTCCTCATGTTGTGTTGACCCCCAGCAATAAAATTATTCCTAAAACCATTGAAAATATGTGTTTTCCAATGGTCTTAGGCGACCCCTGTGAAAGGGTCATTCGACCCCAAAGGGGTCCCGACCCACAGGTTGAGAACCACTGTACTAGACCAACAGCCAAGCAGTATACAATATCCCAATCAAGGAACTGCCAACTCAGACAAACAGAGTAGAGTAGAGTAGAGTAGAGTAGAGTAGAGTAGAGTAGAGTAGAGTAGAGTAGAGTAGAGTAGAGTAGAGTAGAGTAGAACAGAACAGAACAGAATAGAATAACAGGGTTAGAAGGGGCCTTGGAGGTCTTCTAGTCCAGCCCCTTGCTCAAGCAGGAGAACCTATCCCATTTCAGACAAAGCAGGAGAACCTATCCCATTTCAGACGAAGAATCTATCCCATTTCAGGCAATCTAACAGCACACAACAGCCTAATCAAGGAAGTACCAAAAACACTCCCATCAACATTGACAGGGCAAGTCACTAGTAAATAAACAGAGAGCATTCCCTTCTAGCACTCGTGATGTGTCCTAGTTGGGTAATGAAACATCTGCAAGAAAACAAGCAAGCTCAGAGAGCACCAAAGATTTCCACACAGTGGGTTCATGCCATAACTAAACAAGAAGAAAAGCTACTGTCAAGGAGGTGGGCATAACCTCCTCATCCTCATTGACAGTAGCCCATCTCAGAGTACTGGAGTGCCTTAATTCTTTTGGAATATTGCTCCTTCCAGCATCTTAGCTCATCATGCCATCCAATAACAAAGAAATAGGATGGAAACCTCCACTGCATCTGTCTCCTTCTTGGATACTGTGGTCTTGAATTGGAGTAGACTTTTCACTGGGTAGAATGATGCACAGTGAACACAGGAGTTGAATACAGGGGACAAAACCTTTCTAGGCATTTAATGAGGGGATATATCTAATGCTATCAGATGTGGGCTTCAATAGCTGGGACCCACTCGATAGCAACAGACAACCCTTCTGACATCTAGTAGATTTTCAGATCTTTTTCAGCCCTGATTTGGTAGCCCTCCTTTTTGCTTCCAGTTTTTCCAATCTTTGTTTTGGAAAATTTCCTCCAGAATCTTCGATGTATGGATTAAAGGCTGTATTTCAGAGAGCAGCACCTGTTGCAGAACATTATTTGAGAGAACGTTTTTGTAGAAATGACTTACGGATTCATTTTGTAGGCATATCTTTTAAGGTCTCTTCAGAAATAGTTCAATAGTTACAGCATTGATGGTTGAACAAAATCATTGGTCGAGGAGAGCAAATATTCAGTCACTAGTAACTGGAAAGTCATTTTTAAGAAACTCTTTGGAGATTAAAGGGGCAGAATTTGCCTGCCTGGTTTTTATCCTTCTCGTCCCTGTTTCTAAAGAAGGTTGGCTTAAGAAGAGCATGTGTGAAGTCAAAAAAAATTTCAACCAGGCTCTTTTATAGAATGCTTGGGAATCAACTTAGGTCTCTTTCCTTTGTCAGTTCTGCTTGACTAAAATGGAAACCCAAAAGCTGCTAACTCTTATGCTTAGGCACTTCCAAAATTGAAAATGATTCCTAATAGGTATTCCTGTGCCGCCAAAATGATTTAGCATAATGCGCTGAATGAGATTGCTAAGTCAAAATATCTTTTTCCTAAGTGATTTTCTTGCTGTGTCTCTGAATGTCAGAGGGAAAGAAGAGGACATCGCCTGCTGAATATCATTGTCGGTTTAAAAGTTTTACACTGAATAATTCATCCTTAGGATAGGATGAGCGTTTCTTCATTGCATAAGTCAGAAAGGCTCAGCAATACTAATCACGTTACACTAAAGATTTGCACTGGCCCCTCTTTGATGCCACTTTGGCTGCTAAAGCACCACAATCCATCATTCTGTTGTTTTCCACCATCTGCGTTGATCGTCAGCAGACCAGTGTTGATCTCATGGGTGAATCTCCACTAATTCTTTCAATTACTACCGTAGATCAAGAGATGTAACATTTGAGGTACAGTAGGATTAACCCAAGTTTTGTTGCTATGCCCTCTTATTCCATTGCGCTGACTGTTGACCGTGGAACTCTTGCGGCTCTCTGAGCTTGGTTGTTTTCTTGCTGATGTTTCATTACCCAGCTAGTAACATCATTAAGGTTAGAAGGGAGTGAGGTTTCGTCTCTGTTAATATACAGCTGACTTGCCCTGTAAGTATTGGTGAAGGTGGTCTTGATTAAATGGTGTAGGGTCTCCTGCTTGGGAGGGTGGGGGTTGGACTAAATGACCTATAAGGTCCCTTCCAACTTTGTTTCTATTCTATTCTATTCTATTCTATTCTATTCTATTCTATTCTATTCTATTCTATTCTATTCTATTCTATTCTATTCTATTCCTATTCCATTCCATTCCATTCCATTCCATTCCATTCCATTCCATTCTATTGCAGGTCCCATCCCCGAGGGAGATACACCTGGTGGGACCCAGAAGAAGGGCCTTCTCCGTGGTGACTCCCTCTCTCTGGAACATCATTCTCCCAGAGATTAGAATGACCCCCATCCTAATTGTCTTCCGGACGGCGCCGAAGACCTGGTTCTGCCAGCAGGCCTGGGGAACCCGGAGTGGGATGGAGCCCATTAAATGGCTTGTGTGATCGGCTGTTGCTGAGGTGGGAGGTGGGGGTCAGGGGTGATTTTATTACATTAATTTATTTGATTTTTTTATGAGTTTTACTGTTTTTTAAATGTTTTTTTTTTATATTCTGTAATCCTCCTTGAGTCACCATGGGCGAATAGGTGGCAATATAAATCTAATAAATAAATAAAATGAATGAATATTCTATTCTATTCTATTCTATTCTATTCTATTCTATTCTATTCTATTCTATTCTATTCTATTCTATTCTATTCTATTCTATTCTATCCTATCCTATCCTATGATTGGGGTATTGTTCAGGGCATGTGATTGGTGGATTGGTGATATTGTAAGCAATACCCAAATCAAGGAACTGCCAGTTCAGGCAAACAATGAAATAATCATTATTTATTTATTTATTTAATTAAACTTATATACTGCCCTTCTCCCCAGGGGGACTCAGGGTGGTGGACAGCCATAAATTAAAACACATATAGTACAAAAGTTAAAAAAAAAACTAAAATAGATTAAATCAGTGGCATTACCAATTTAAAATCCCAAATCTACAAAATCAAAAAATTCCCAATTTAAAACCCAAAGAACCAATAAAATTAAAAGATTAAAAATCCCCATTAAAACCATTTAAGATTGGCCAGCTTGTTGGAATAAATTAAATTCAGGGCCTTGCGGAAAGTGCGGAGGTCCGGGATCAGTCGTATTTCAGGAGGTAGCTCATTCCACAGGGCGGGTGCCCCCACAGAGAAGGCTCTCCCCCTGGGGGCTGCCAGCCAACATTGCTTGGCTGACGAACCCTGAGGAGGCCCTCTCTGCGCGAATGTATTGGCCGGTGGGAGGTTATCGGTAGCAGCAGGCGGTCTCGCAAATATCCTGGCCCTATGCCATGGAGCGCTAAACTAGGAAACACCGAGAACACTCCCACCAACATTGGTAGGGCAAGCCACTTGTAAGTCCACAGAAAGCAAACCCTACACCCTTCTTGCACTGATGATGTTACCTAGTGGGGTAATGAAAACAACCAAGCTGAGAGAGTACCAAGGATCCCACAATGCAATCCTGAGCTACAAATATTATCTTCTATTGGTGACTGTTGACTCTTAGTTAGATACTAGTTCAACATAGGAGATGAAGAATGTCCCCTACCTTATGATACAAATCTGTTAGTGGGCCAAAAAAATCTAAATGGCATATTATATATATAACTGTATCCTCCTCCTGTGGGTGGATGCTAATGGAAGAACCATAAACATATTGTTACTATAAGAAAGAGCCGAGGTGGCGCAGTGGTTAGAATGCAGTACTGCAGCTACTTCAGCTGACTGCTAGTTCAGCAGATCAGCGGATCAAATCTCACCGGCTCAAGGTTGACTCATCCTTCCATCCTTCCGAGGTGGGCAAAATGAGGACCCAGATTGTTGGTGTAAGCCGCCCAGAGTCCTCGGAGAGTGGGCGGCATAGAAATACAAAAAATATAAATAAATAAATAAATAAATAAATAAATAACTCCCAATACCTGAAATGCCTAATAGCGGTGACACTCTACAGGTTCTGATCCCATTATGGATACAACTGTCATCAACCGTCACTACATCACAGTAAAGAAAGTTTATCAGATCAGGAAACGTGACCACAAAATGTTTCATAAAGTATTCCTTAAAAAAGAAAAAATGGCTCCAATATTTGGCCATTCCAGAACATGCTACAAATTCGATAAAATTGCTACTAAAAGTTACCATCCTTGTACCAGACGGATCAGCCATAAAGTGTGAAGCAGTCCCGGAATGACAGTTGCTAAGATAAAGTATGTAATATTTATCTCAATTCTGTTACATTATCTGACAAAATTAGATTAATGCCTTCATGAACCCATTATTCGAAACTCTCTCTTTGAAGTTGCAGTTTCAGATTATAGGCAGCAGCAAATTGGCATGGTTTCAGGTTAGTAGGTGGTTTGCTTGTTTGCATGTGCTAAATCTAAATAATCAGGTTAAAAGAAAAGGTTCAGCTCTTCAGCTCAGTCTTACCTCATCGTAGATGTTGTCATTTCTGTCAAAATCACCTGGCTTCCTTGGAAGTACATGGATATGAACGTGCTAAAAAAAATGAAACCAAATTCAAGGTTAGCCAGAAGCTTTTAATACATCAGATTTTCTTTTTAATGCTCTCAAATTCTTTCGCGTGGTGTTACTGCTTTTTAATGATCCCTTTTGTAAAGCTTATCTTTATTTGCCATCTTAATCTAGGGAAGCATCTTTGTGGGAGCCCAAAAGGCAGTTCATACGTGTTAAATAACTTAAACAAGGGCCCAGAGAGTTAAGTAAATAAAAATAGTCTCTCTTCTGAAATGTATGAGGGACAGAGAGAAAACTCCATGGTGATGGGGGATTTTGAGATAATGCTGAAAGGTACTGGGGAATTACGAGATGCCAGTCTGCATTTCAATTGTTATTGAAATGACAGACTATCACCTAGCTGTCAAGTTAAAATGATAAGTATAACTTTTTTCCAAACTAGATCTTTATAAACTCATTTAACTGAGAATGGTGTAGTCTACCGGAACAACATTTCTCATTTTGGACTTTAAAGAGACTCTACACTTATCAACCTAAGCCAAGGTTCACCAATTTCCACTCTAGATGTTTACAAATAACTGATGCAGACAACCCCCAAGTTGATGGAGACAAACATGATGATGATTGGGGATTGTTATTTGTGTTGGACCTGGTCTCTGGGTGTTAAGTGACTTTTGTTGTATGGGTATACTGTGTATATATGTACAATGACAATAAAGTGATGATGATAATGATGATGAATCATTATTATTAATATGTTGTTGTATGCTGTCAAATCTTCAAACTGCACAGTGACTTACAAAAATGAATTGTATACAATTATAATTTCCTCAAAGGATCTGGATCATACAGTAAACAACAAAAATAACAACTAACTGATAGCTAGCACATTAAAAAAATCCAACAGCTAATGGCATGATCACCATGGAGAAAAATCAACTAATTCAGTTCTTAAGCATCAGCATTGACTTGATTGTAATAATCAATCAATCATGGGAATGTGTCATACAGCCTAAATATTCCCTAGCAAAGAGCCCTACACTATTCTTCCAGACATATCCAAATGGAGCTCATTGCATAGTTGTCTATGAGGGTGCCTGGTAGAGAATATGGGAGTGAAGTATAGGCAAAAATGAGTTTACCACAATGGCACTGGAAGGACCCACAATGAAGTGCATATTGGGGGAAAGGAAGTCCTGCTTACTGGGACTGTGCAAATAGTTGAAGAAACACTTCGCAAAATTCATTGATCCATGCACATTGCACCTCCATGAAGCACTGAAAGGATTGAGTCCTCCTAAGGTTCAACTACATGCTTCAAAGGCTAATTTAATGTCTGCATATGCCCATCCAGGCACAACTGCTTTTGCTGGCAATCCCAGCACAGCTATTGTCTGTGAGCATGCACATGCTCACTGCTGTTAAAACAGCCAACTCCAAGTTTTCCACAGGATACAAAGACTTCAATCTTTCAAGGAGAAACATTAGTCATTTCTTTCAATGCCCTTGGGAAGTACTCCTTTTCAACGTCTTGGAACTCCTATTAGCTGATTCACATGACAATAAAACCCAAACCCTGGTTAGAAAACTCAATCACAAAATATAATGCATTGCATTCCATAATATAAAACATAGCATGGCTTAATATTATGGCCTGGCTCATATAAAATGTTGAAATAATGATTGATTTCCCCCAATACAATGGATCACAAATGACCCAATCACAGTTTTGTGTAATTTAGCTAGACGAAAGTATGAAAACTCTAGTGTGAACTGACCCACTTATGTGTTGGCATTTAATATTCTAGGTACATCTGTCTCCATATCTATGTGTGCACCTGGATAAAATATATCTATGTGTGCTCCAGTCCATTAGCCCCTTATGTAGAAAATGAATTATTTCTTTTTAAATCCACATACAAAAATATTATAAGCACATAAAACACAAGCACAAATACAAGGCATGCAAAAAGGGGCACACTAGAGTGGGAAAAATTATTAAAACCAATTACAAGATACATTGTGACAGTTAAAAAAAAAGAAAACATGAAAAACAGATAAAAGGTACTGAGTTAAGTCTCAGATAAAATAAATATCTGCATGTTTGTACAAAAAGAATGTTGCCCAAAGCCAAATGGTGTAGAAGAAATTATTAATTAAGATTCTTGGGCAAGAAATCATGCAGTTTAAATATACCACAATAAGATAAAAGTAGGAAAATGAAACTTTGGCTTCAGCTGCCACCTGTTTTTTGTTTTGTTTTTTCAATCATGTCTGATTCCTGGAGACTGATGGGACAAGTCCTGCAATTTTCTTGGAAGATTTTCACTTTTCAGAAGTGGTTTGCCATTGCTTCCTTCCTAGGGCTGAGAGAAAACCATTGGCTCAAGTCACCCAGCTGATGTTGTGCCTAAGGTGAGACTAGAACTCCCAGTATCCCAGTTTATAGCCTGATGTATTCAGAGGCAAAATAAACTTCAGAAATACTTCCAAAGTGTGAAGCCAAAACTTAGTTGCTGCTAAGCTTGTAAAAATATTGTATACTCCAAATTAATTCGAACAACTCGGAACAAACCGTTCCAAACTCGATTGCAGAAAATATGACTTCGGTAACAGAGTGGTCAATGCCTGGAATGCACTACCTGACTCTTTAGTTTCTTCCTCAAACCCCCAAAACTTTAACCTTAAACTGTCTACTGTTGACCTCACCCCATTCCTAAGAGGTCTGTAAGGGGCGTGCATAAATGCACCAGCATGCCTACCATCCCTGTCCTAATATTCCTTTTTATTTACTCTTTTCATGTATTCAAATTATATTTATACTTTTACCTGTTATCTTATATATGCTTGACAAATAAACTTATGATTATGATTACTAAATTGATTTACATTGTTTCAACTTTTTCTATGTACATATACATATATGTATGTTCAGTGATCCAAATTGTACCGGGTTTTAGCAAATTTCTATCTGAATTGATATGTCCACAGTGAAGTGGAGCAATTTACTGAATTGATGGGTGTATTCAGATTGAATGAGGCCTGATTTGCACATTACCCCATCTCAAAAAAAAAAATCAAAAACTATATCTTTCTCCTTGTGTTTGGCTGAATGAATCACCATCCCTGCCACCTGTTTGCAAACCAGAACATGATGCTATTTGTATCTGAAATCAACACACCCCAAATTTCCAAATACTATTTCCTAGCTGTTTTTTTGGCTGGAGGTCACAGGAGGCTCTGTATGTATCAATAAAATTTAGAGTTATTTAATGTCTGCCCCAGCTGGGCTAAGATCAGCTTATGAAGGCCATTTGCTGATTGGAATAAATTATAATAACTTTATTGTCATTGTATGTGTATACACAGTATACACATACAACAAAATTCACTTAACACCCAAAGACCAGGTCCAACACACATAACAATCCCCAAACACCCTCCCACCCTCCACAATTCCCCACCTCTAAACCACCCAAGCATCCACACAACAGACCAAGTAATGCTGTCCAACAGCTCACTGATGGTGGCCCTTTAGTTCATTGTTGAGTGCAATTATAGCTCTGGGATAAAAACTATTCAGAAAACATGTGGTCCAAGTTTTAATTGTTCTGTATCTTCTGCCAGAAGGCAATAGTCCAAAAAGATTGTAAGCAGGATAGGAAGAGTCTCTGAGAATGTTATGCAACTTTCTCAAACAGCAAGATGTCGTCCAGGGCTAGTAGTTGGAGTCTGATGATATTCTGGGCAGTTTTAATGATTCTCTGCAGAGCTTTTTTGTCTGCTACAGAGCTGCTCCCATACCATGCAAGAATGCGGTATGTCAGAGCACTCTCAATGGTGCTGTGATAGTAGGACAGAAGTAGATGCTGAGATAGATTTATCTTCCTGAGCATTCTCAGGAAGTACAGCCTCTTCTGTGCCTTCTTCATAAGCATGTTAGCATTCATAGTCCATGAGAGATCCTTCGAGATATAAATGCCCAGAAATTTAAAACTACCAACCCTCTCCACCTCCTCACCATTTATGTACAATGGTAAATATACATCTCTCTTCCTCCTGAAGTCAATTATAAGTTCTTTAGGTTTTTTTGGTGTTAAGTGTAAGATTATTTTCTTTACACTACAATGTCAGCCCTTGTACTTCCTTTCTGTAAGCAGACTCATTGTTCTTATATACCTTTGCTGGGACCAATTAATGGAGTTTGGGTTTTTTTTCCTCGGAAGACTAATATTTTATCTTTTGTTATTATCACTAGTCTACACTTTTCAGTATAACTATGGTAAAATTGCCAAATGAAGGTAAAGACACTCTTTTTATTTTAAGCTTAAAAACGGTTCTTTTGAGTAATACATCAGCGATAGTGTTCTGATTGTGTATTATACTAATACATCACAAGAGTGATAGTGCTCTTATGATGTATTAGTGTAATACATCATCCCAGCATCATTGCCCTGATGATATATTGCTCAAAACCACATTGTGAGCTTAAAAGCCACTCGTTGGTACCCCTTGGGCCCTCATCTACACACTCACTTGGAAAATTAAAGATTCATTGAGGAAAAATAGAAGATAAAGCGATGCTTATATATTGATTGTAAAAGTGGTAGTAAAATTAGAATCCACCAAGTTTATCATTTGGCCCCTACATTATATGATTAATTGGAGTTTCTTCTTTGGATAGCTAGGCTTTGGTACACTATTAAGTTGTTTAACTTTTAATTGAAATCAATGATATTTAAGGGCACATATGCATATTGTTTAAGTTCTTCCTGCCAGCTTCAGAGAGTTCTGTTTCCACTCACGTACACATGCACACACTTGGACACACACACACACACAAACACAACAGAAGAGCCTGTAGTACAGTGGACTAAAGCACTGTTATTAACAACTGCTGCTTGCAATTACTGCAAGTTCAAATCTCACCAGGCTCAAGGTTGACTCAGCCGTCCATCCTTTCTAAGGTAGGTGAAATGAGGACCCAGATTGTGGGGGCAATAAGCTGACTTTGTATAAAT